TACGACCTTATTACGACTAATATATAACTAATATACAACAGATATACCCCAAAAAACTACTCTTATTTTAGTTGTATATCAGTTATATATAGTCGTAATAAGGTCGCAAATTTTTTTTTTTTTGGTGGGGTAGGCGAGAAATTCATGCGACACGAACAGGGTATTTGTGAAGTTTACCCTCATATTTTTTCCAGCTAACCGAACTGGGCGGCGAGCTCGTTTATGCATCCGATTCAGAGGAAACGGATAAGTCCTACAGCAAACATTACCTAGTAGCACAATGATCTGAGAGCCAAAGTCCGAGGGAGAACCCGGAATAGGTAACAAAGAACTCGAAGAGCTGTCGAGATCCAGTGAAAACGACAACGGAATCCATCAAATATCGGACATCACTAGATGAGCAAACCATGTTATGGATGTGGAAAAAGGGAAGTTAAGTTAACCTAATACAAGCAACCAATATGATGATGGCAACAATCTACACACAGACCAACCTTTTATCATTATATAGAGTATCAACTTATTTCGTCAATCCTTATGGCATCTCATCTCAACTTACGCTCCTCGAAACCACAAAGCTTTCATTTTTTTATGATTCTACTCCGACATAGAGAGAGATGCCCTTCAGATTTCTCAATCTCCCCAACAAAACTTTCGAAACAACAGCAAATCTCGGAATTAGACTCACTTTCGCCGCCTCCGTTCATATGGGCACATACCGCTTCAATGCTTGCTTCCCCGCCACCGCCGCCGCCGCCGCTAATCCGCCCAGAGCACCGGCCACCGCCGCAGACCTCACCCCGCGCGCTGCCTTGTAGGCCGCTCCGGTCCCCAGCCCCGCCACAACGCTCGTCCACACATCGTCCCTATCCGTCGCCGCCACAACACCGCTCTCTATCCCGGCGTAGATCAGCCCGATAATACCTACACGATTACCCCAAGCGCGGCCCGATTGACCCGAGGAGTTAAGAACCCTGTTGATTTTCAGCTTAGTCGTGTCGCCGGATTCGAAGTTCCTGACGGCGGAATACAATCCGGCGGAAGCGCCGGCGATGGAGCCGCCGAGGTAACCCGTACCGGTGTAGAACGTGAGATTCTCGCCCCAGGATCGTCGCTGACGGAGAGACTCCTCGGTGAAGAGGAACTCCGGCGAAGTAGGAAGCTTGTAGAGGTACTGTGCTTTGGCAGGGAGCTCGTAGTTCTGGTAAGGGTTGTAAAGGCGCATACTTTGATCGGATTCATGGTCCGAGCTTTGGTTCGCCGCCATTGGAGAAGGAAAAAAAAAGTCTTCTTGTAGGGTTTAGGGTTAGTGCTTGGTGGAGCTTGGAATGTTTTTAGGGTTCATAGAAAATTCTTCTTTATTAGTTCATCGTTGAGACTCGTTCTCACACGATTCCCATTTTTCTTATGCCGCTTGCGCTTGGCGTGCTACATAATCTTGAGATAAATTCGAATCGGATCCCTTAACTGTTATTAAATACTAATTTAACCTTATATCTTTCTTTCTTTTGTATTGTTAGCCAATAACTTCTCAAGTGTTTCATAATGTTCACTTAAGTTGTAAAATTGCATGTACAACCCCAACTATTAATACACTAAAAGGACGGCGGCAGCGAAAACGTTTCTTCATCCCCGATATAATATACAGACGCAGAGAGAGCGACAAAGACAGAGACGCAAGGGTAGAATGGGAAATCAGAAGCAAAAATGGACACCGGAGGAGGAGGAAGCGTTGCTTGCCGGAGTTGCCAAGCACGGTCCCGGAAAGTGGAAGAACATTCTCCGGGATCCCGATTTCGCCGCTCAGCTCACCCATCGTTCCAACATCGACCTCAAGGTGTTTTACCTTTTTTTTTTTGTCTTCGTTCGTTTCTTTTTTGCCGCTGTTGTTGATTTCTTCAGCCGAGGGTTACGAACGGAGGAATCCTAGGTATCGACTTTGAGGCACACTGGTTGATTGATGGTTCGTGTTTTGATCATGTGGGATTGAGTTCAGGAGTTTTGTGTTTGATTTGGTTTCTGAAATTACCTGGAGAGAATTTTCAGGCAGGAAAATCGAATTCCCTAGTGCCTAGGGATTGTGAATTCTGGGATAAAGCTGCTAATCTTGTTGTACGAGAGTTTGATGGTTCACATTCGCTCTTTCTCCAATCATGATTGTGCATTATGATGCTTCTGCGCTTAGGAGATCGACGTATTAAGCACCGACATTCCTCATCTTGTGCCTCGTTTAGTTGCTTGAGCAGTGGCAAGGATGATGTAGATGCTTTTGTTGCTTCCTAACAAATTTTCTCTATAAAAAGGAAATTTACTGTTGCAAGTCGTTTCCCTTTTGAGCAGTTGGGTTTCTAGTGTGGTTCTTCTTAGACAAATTGACGCTGATAGATGGTGTTTTCGCTGTAGTATTCATATGAGGCTCAAATAGTGACTTCGGTTGTGTCTTCTGTTTCCATATGCTTGATTTCAGCTAAATAATTTTGTGCTCCTTGGAGACGAACTCGTGCTTTTACTGAAAATGACATAATTTGTTTCATTAGAAAACGTTAGTGGCAGAATATGACATTAATTATGATGGCACAAAAAACTACCTGTTCTGTCTTAGATGTCAATCAGGCTTGAAATAGTGATACACTAATGTTTAAGGCTGCTGAGTTCTGTTAATGCTGATGGTCGGTTTTACTCAACTTTTCACCTGTAATGGTCAATAGTCGTCTCTGGTGCCTGAAAATTTAGGGGGAAACCTTATGGATGCTATATGGTTGTTTCAAATGTCACACCATGTTGAACCTAGGCCTAGAGCAATCACAGGTTAACTGGAATTTTATGTGCAAAGGGCAACACTGCCTTTCATCTCTTTCACTACTTTAGGATCGACTATCCACACTGTCTTGCTCCTGTTGTCTTTTACTTGGTAACTGAATGGTCAAGAATCTTTAATTGTCCGGGTTTCACTCACTCTATAGGATAAGTGGCGTAACTTGAGTGTTGCCCCTGGTACCCAAGGTTCAAAGGATAAGATACGGACACCTAAACTCAAAGCTGCAGCTGCTGCTGTTATGGCTGCAGCTGCTGCTG